TTCTTCATGCCGCACCCTGACCTTTCATAAGTGCTGATTTGATCCACAAACCTTTTTTTTTTTTTTTTTTTTTTTGGTCGCCTAGCCCTTTTAGAAGGTAGCCTTTAAGTCTCCGGTTTTCTTTTGCTGATGTGGAGCTGATATGTTATTAACCTGTTTGTTTTTGTAGATGTGGCAGCACTTTCATCACTTAGGTGTAATATACCCAAATTAAATGGTCAATTGCTAACCCTAATTCAAATTGGTCAATTGAAACCAACGAACACAAACTCGCGACCACTGGGAATCTTGCCAAATCTCCCAAAATCATGACCAACGAACCCTAAATCCCTAATCCCGACGACCTCCAGACGGCATCCCTACATCGGTGACGAACAGTGGGTGACAAACATTGGGGACGAAGGTGTGAAGGCGAAGTCGTAGTGAATATATGCGAAGGAGTAAGGTATGTTCAAGTCTATATGTAGAACAATATATAGGCATAGTTTTTTTTTTTTTTTTTTTTTTTTTTTTTTTTTTTTTTTTTTTTTTTTTTTTTGTTTTGGTGGAGGCAATATATGTGCATAGTGTAGGTATATTATACTGTTGTTAATGGAATATGCGAATATGCTGTCAATTTGCTTTGAATATGATGTGTTGTGGTCCTACTGCTGTTGCTTTTGCTTATATTTTGTATTGATTTTGATGTAGTGGGGTCCTGTTGTACTACATTATTGTTTGAATACGTTTGTATAAAGTGTGGTCCTGCATTTCTTTAGTTTTATTTCTGACAGTTGGTTGGTGTATAAAGTGATACTGCCAAAGCTGTTGCTTTTATGATTAAATATGCCTTAAATTTCTGTTGTCAGGATGAATGAAAGTGTGGAATTAATTATTCATCATGGTGGTAATTTCGTGAAAAAGCCTCAGTTAAAATATTTGAATGGTCAGACATAAATAGTGTGTGTGGACCCTGACTTAATATGTTATCCCCATTTAGTGAAGTACATAGCAGACCAAAGATATGGGAAAATAGCCTCGCTGACATATAAGTTGACCATTGAACCCTTTACAGCTTTAAAACTACTTCATAATGATGCTAGTAGTCTCCACTTAACTCAGATTGCTAGGGAGAATAAAAGGTGTGAGATTTATGTTAAACATGGGGTAGATGAGCCTGCTGTGGTTGCTTTATCTTTACCTGGGCTTGAGGCAGAATTAGGGGTGAGGAAGGTGGGGCTGAGGCTGAATATGAAGCAGAATTAGGAGGTGAGGAAGGTGGGAGTGAGGCTGAATATGAGGCAGAATTAGGGGGGGGGGGGGGGGGGGGGGGGTTGAGGAAGGTGGGAGTGAAGTTGAAGGAGATTCAAGAATTGGGAGTGACTACTTCAGTGAGCAGGGGACTGATTTAAGCAGTGGTAGTGACCATATTACTAGTGGCAGTGAGCATAGGAGTGGTTGTGAGCAGATTGCTAATACGGGGGACAAGAGAAAAAGGAAAATTAGAGTAGATGATGAACTAATACCACCTTATGTGCCAATATCTAAAAATCCTTTAGGAGATGAGGCTGATTCTGTTTATTATGATTCTGAAGATCCACCAACAATTGAAGTAGATTTAGAAAATGATGAGGTGCAATCAAAGTACAATGATAAGTACCCCAAGTACAATCCTAAATCAAATCCACCCTTTATTCAATTATGTATGTATTTTGATGACAATGTGCAATTCAAGTTGGCTATGATTAGTTATGTTGTACACACAAAGAGGGACCTTTTCTGGAAAAAGAATGGATTAAAGTATGTTAGGGTTGAGTGTCTTGGAAAGGGTTGTGGTTTTCATGTTAGTGCAGGGTGAGAAGAAAGAACGAGGTGTTTTCAAGTGAAGGCAATTATATTGGAACATAAATGCAACAATCAATTTACTTTAGGGATAGTCAGAAATGGTTAGAATGGAAATTTGAAGAGAAGGTGAGGCAAAATTCAACTATTGGTTATTCAGAGTTGAGCAAAGACATCAAATCTGAGTTGAACTTGAATGTGACTGTGAGCATGTGTAGAAGGGCCATAACAGGGATATTGAAGAAGTTAGATATTGGGTATGAGAGTCAGTTCAAAAGGCTTAGCGATTATGCTCAGGAGTGCTTGAATTCAAATTCAGGATCTACATTGAAGATAAAAACAACCAGAATTGTGGAAAATTCACCCTTAGTGTTTGAGAGGATATATGTGTGTTTTAAAGTCATGAAGAAGAGTTTTTTAGAGTTGTTATAGAATATTCTGTGAGATTAAGTATCCTACATATTAGGAAGGGTTTCTGGTTTATGGAAACTAATTACCATATTAGTTTATATCTAGCTTGTATTTAAAGTGTGGTTGACAAACCCTAAAGAGATAGAGAAACATAGTTCTTCACAAAAGAGGTAATCTTCTCGCAGTGTTTTAACAAGAGTGTTGCAGGAGCCAGGAGATTTATTGGACTAGATGACTGCTTTTTAAAAGGAAAATTGAAGGGTGAAATATTGACTGCTGTTGGTAGAGATGGTAACAATCAAATGTACCCCAATTGCTTGGGCTGTTGAGATTGAGAATAACTCATCATGGAGATGATTTATGGAGCTTTTAGAGGCAGATTTGAATATTGTGGACAAACACTCAATGGACCTTAATGAGTGATCAGTAGAAGGTAAATCCACTTCAATTCTTTACTTCTTTAAATGTGTTACTGTACTTGATATTGTGATTAACTTGAATTTAAATTTGAATTTGTAGGGGTTATCTAATGTCATACAAGAGATATTTCCTGGTGTTGAGCACATAAATTGTGCTAGGCATGAAAACCACAAATCCACAATCCTTTCCAAGACACTCAACCCTAACATACTTTAATCATTCTTTTTCTAGAAAAGATTCCTCTTTGTGTGTACAGTATAACTAATCATAGCCAACTTGAATTGCACATTGTCATCACAGTACATACCTAATTGAATAAATGGTGGGTCTGATTTAGGGTTGTACTTAGGGTACTTATCATTGTACTTTGATTGCACCTCCTCATTTTCTAAATCTACTTCAACTGGTGGTGGATCTTCAGAATCATAATAAACAGAATCAGCTTCATCTCCTAAGGGATTTTCAGATGTTGGCACATAAGGTGGTATTGGTTCATCATCTACTCTGGTTTTCTTTTTTCTCTTGTCCCCCCTATTAGTAATCTACTCACTGTCACTAGTAATCTGGTCACTACCACTGCTTAAATCAGTCCCCTGCTCACTGAATTAGTCACTCCCAAGTCCTGAATCTCCCTCAACTTCACTCCCACCTTCCTCACCCCCTAATTCTACCTCAGATTCAGCCTCACTCCGACCTTCCTCACCTCCTAATTCTGCCTCATATTCAGCCTTAACCCCACCTTCCTCACCCCCTAATTCTGCCTTCGGCCCAAGTAAAGATAAAGCAACCACATCAGGCTCATCTACCTCATGTTCAACATAAATTTCACACCTTTTATTCTCTCTAGGAATCTGAGCTAAGTGGAGACTACTAGCATCATTATGAAATAGTTTTAAAGCTGTAAAGGGTTCAGTGGTTAATTTATATGTCAGTAAGGCTATTTTCCCATATCTTTGGTCTGCTATGCACTTCACTAAGTGGGGATAACATATTAAGTCATGGTCCACACACACTATTTATGTCTGACCATTCAAATATTTTAACTGAACCGTTTTCACGAAATTACCACCATGATGAATAATTAATTCCACACTTTCATTCATCTTGACAACAGAAATTTAAGGCATATTTAATCATAAAAGCAACAGCTTTGGCAGTATCACTTTATACACCAACCAACTGTCAGAAATAAAACTAAAGAAATGCAGGACCACACTTTATACAAACGTATTCAAACAATAATGCAGTACAACAGGACCCCACTACATCAAAATCAATACAAAATATAAGCAAAAGCAACAACAGTAGGACCACAACACATCATATTCAAAGCATATTGCCAGCATATTCGCATATTCCATTAACAACATTATAATATACCTATACTATGTGCATATATTGTTCTACATATAGACTTGAACATACCTTACTCCTCATTCGCATATATTCACTGCGATTTCGGCTTCGCACCTTCGTCCCCAATTTTCGTCATGCCGTCTGGAGGTCGTCGGGATTAGGGATTTAGGGTTTGTTGGTCGCGATTTTGGGAGATTTGGCAAGATTCCCATTGGTCACGAGTTTGTGTTCGTTGGTTTCAATTGACCAATTTGAATTAGGGTTATCAATTGACCATTTAATTTGGGTATATTACACCTAAGTGATGACAGTGCTACTCCACATCTACAAAAACAAACAGGTTAATAACATATTAGCTCCACATCAGCAAAAGAAAATCGGAGACTTAAAGGCTACCTTCTAAAAAGGTTAGGCGACAAAAAAAATTGGTTTAGGGATCGAAGCACTTATGAAAGGTCAGGGTGCGGCATGAAGAATCGCCTTATGGTTCAGGGTGCGGGATGGATCTTTAGCCTATATTATTATTATTATTATTATTATTATTATTATTATTATTATTATTATTACTATTATTACTATTATTATTATTATTATTATTATTATTATTATTATTATTATTATTATTATTATTATTATTATCCAATAGTTACATAGGTGATTGGGTTAGTGGTTTGACTAGTTGATAGCATTAGCCGATTGTAGAAAGGTGTTTGATAAATTAACTGATAGCTGATTGCCTGATTACATGCAAAATGACTTTCTCGAAAAACTGATCTAAAAAGTTGCTTTGAGTAGCTTTTTGAATTTTAGGGGTTTGAACTAATAAATAAGTTGTTACAAAAAGTTAATTAATCAAACACTTATATTGGTTGTTTAATCAAGTCAAACAGCTAATAGTGGTCAATAAGCCAAAATTGACTGATAAGCTAACTATGCTACCAAACAGGCTGTCTTTCAAAAAATTTTCTAAACCTTTTATATCATTAACAGGATTCAGAATGAAGGGTAAAATTTCTCCAGACTTGGTTGGTCTTGTTCTTTTGTTGATATTAGTAGAGATGTAATAGAAATCTGATTCTAATTTTAATTTGTCAAATTTCTACCCTACTTGGACATGTTGGCTGCCTGTGAGTTGTGACAGATGATTGTCTTAACACCACACTTCCATGAGACTCTAAAATAGTCTATACTAGTAACTTGCTAAGCAAGAATATAATGCAATCCTTGGATCTTAAGGTAGTGACATACTTTTTGCAGAAGTGGTGTTATACTTGTGATTCAGCCTTCCCCTAACTTTCTTACAAACTCAATACCATTGCAGGTGACCTTTGGGAATACATTGTTGCATGTATACTGTTTGCTCTTGATCTGACATTGTTTTATTGAAGTTTGGGGCATTAAAAGGAAATGTTACTCAGCATATTGATGTTTCCACTGTGATTGCTTGCCAAAAAGAAGGAATGATCAGCTTTACCATTTCTATTATCTGCTACACTTGGCAATTAGGCTTCTTCTTTCTTGGAAATTAAAGTTTATATACAAGTTTTTCCTCATTTGACATCTACTGGAACCAGTAGCCCATGAATTTCTTAGACTCTCATAGAGTATCTGCTATTTTGTTAAAACTACTTGAGCCTATATGTATAATGCATTACCATGCCCCTTCTTCCAAAAAGGGGAAAAAGAAAGTCTGAGTAATCTTTTCAGTCCTTTTCAATGCAAGAACAAAAAGTTAGTCATGAAGGAGTACTGTTGTTACATGCTTGTCATTTAAAACCTATATATGAAAGATTATAGTCATTGCCAGGGTTTGCTTGCAATAACTTGGAAAGGTTTTACTGTTAACACTGAAAGCAGCTATGTTAACATGGGAGATAGGAAGCAACTTTCTATACTTAAAATGCACCATGGCATTATGAAATAAAATTAAGTTCTTGTTAGGATCAAGTGCTTACTACTACGTTAAAAGCTATAGCTTATAGCGAACGTGTAACTTTATTTCTTTATATTGTCACACATTTTTAAGAGGTAGGGTGCTGGACTTAGCCTTTCAAGCCTCCGCCCAACAATCCCCTTAGCCACCGGGTGCTCAACTTGGTCCTTTGATGACAACAATTCTCCCACCTAACACTTACTACTACACCAAAAGTTATAGCACGAAGTGAAGATGCGACTTTATTTCTTTATACCGCCACACATTTTTGAGAGACAGGGTGCTAGACTTAGCCTGACTTAACTCTTCAGGTCTCCGCCCAACAATCCCCTGGCCTCCAGCGGTTGGACTTGGTCCTTTATTGGCTTTTGGCCAATAGTTCTTCACTTCATCATTTCAATAACTATGATCAAGGCTAAGATATTATTTAATTAGGTCGTATTGCTTGCCTCTTCAACTGATTCCATCACGATAAGTGGTGGCGGCTCCTGCTTAATATCTACATCTACATCTACAATCTACAATTCTAATAAGAAGCAATAATGTTAGGCCCTTAACTAGAACAAAAAAAATGCCGGTAGTATTGTTTCTTAAAATGAATGGTTCATATTATTTTGATTTTAATATTTTTAATGATTTTCCTTATTTACCCTCTATTATATTATTTTCTTCCTTAAATAACCTAAATTCCGTTAGTATAAATTTTAGTAACGGAATATTCCGTTAACTATTTATTATTTTTAACTTACTCATTAATTTCTATAAGAAATGTCTTAGGTTCGAACCCCATTCCAATTAGAGTTGGCATAATTGTTAAACATATACTACGAAGATGTTAAAATATATTTTTTAAAAATATATAATATAAAATTTAACATAAACTTTGTTCAAATAATTAGTCCGGCTAAATACATAACATTCAAAGTTAAGTATCAAAGATGATTTTAAGTTTTTTTTTTTTTTTTTTTTTTTTTTTTTTTTTTTTTTTTTTTTCCGTTTAATTAATCTTCTTTTGATTATTTAGATCAGAATAAAATTTAATATTTCAATTATACTTTTGCATTATTGGTATGATTTAGGTTGTTATGATATTAATATTTTTTGTATGTATTTTTATAATGGTACAATTGTACATTACTTTATAAATATTATATTACTCCGTATTATTTTTTTTATCGGACAAAATTATTCTTACATCATTGTCTGCGCGACCTAATTACAAAGTTGTTGATCATAAATACAATTACACCTGGACTCTAAAACGGTAGGACCATTTTCTAACGAATTGACAATATTGTTGACATCGCACTGGCTCCAATTAAACACGTTTATACATTAGAATTTTACCAATGCATGAAAACTTCTAAAGAAATTTGTAAGTTAATTTTTACTATATCATTATAACAATATCTATACTAACTATATATTTTGAATTATTTATTATCATCCTCTATTGACAGGAATTGTAACAATTGTCATTGACAAACTCTCAAAACAATTTGTCTCAACAACGAATGTAAATTAAAAAAAAAAATCAATGATTTCATTATTGTTGATGAAAAGTATGTAAACCACTTTATTACTCTTATTAAATTAAATAAAGTAGTAGCTACAACAAAAAATAATACATATGCATTTAATTATTTTAGAATTAGATGTCTATAATGCCTTTATTTAAAAAAAATTATTCATTATAAAAAAAATTAAAAAGAGATATAATTTCATTATTTATATTATCTTTATTTTCTACAATTCAAAGATTCATTACCTTCAAATTTATTAATTTATTATATTCACTACATTGTCCATTGTCTTCTTTTTACCTTATCTTGTAATTAAATATCAAAGTTATAATACAAAATATGTTATATATATTTATTTACCAAGTATTTTATACAAATATAATAAATATTAATATTTTGTTCAATACTTTCACATGATAACCTACGACACACATATCACAACGCATGTAACATGTAGAGAAAAACTACCACTATTAAATATCAATATTCAATAGGTGCTTGAGATAAATAGTTAATAGTACAACTAAGATCCCATCATATACACAACAAGGCAAATCTAAAGCTTCCTACACCATAATCTCATTGCACGATGAATCTATCTATGCTACCACCAGTAACCCAATTGCACATGACACACTACCAATTAAAAAAAGAGGACATGTACTGAAGATGAAGACAATAACAATGCTACCCAAAAGAGAATTAAGAAGAATTAGAAAAATTTAAACCAAAAGTAGTATTTATTTAGACTATCGTTTTTAGACTAAGTATTTAGATTATCGTTATTACAAAGTTGCAAACATTTATTTTAGTGACAATAAAATCAATCTCTCATATATTATCTTACATTTATATACTTTTAATTACCGATTTATATAAATAAATTGAATATTTATTTACCTATGCATGAACATCTCCGATATAATATTGCATTGATATACTTTGAAATACTTATTTAAAAATAATCATTGGGCATTATTTCATTCGCGCAAAGCGCGTAAAAGAACTAGTTAATAAATAATGCTTATGATTTAATCCCCTCTGTTCCGTCAAATGCAAAAGGTTTAGGGGGTGTTTGGTAAATAGCTGTTAGCTGATTGGGTTAGTGGATTTGACTAGTTGATTTTAGTTGATTGTAGAAAAGTGTTTGGTAAATTAGCTATTAACTGTTAGCTGATTACATACAAAATGACTTTATCAAAAAAACTAATCGAAAAAGCTACTTTGAACATCTTTTTGAATTTTAGCATTTTGGAACAATAAGTTGTTACAAAAAGTTAATTAATTAAACACTCATATTGATTGTTTAACAAAGTCAAACATCTAATAGTGGTCAAATAAGTCAAAATTGGCTGATAGGTTAACTATTTTACCAAATAGGGCCTTAGTACATTGTAGCTCCATACCAACCAGATTTTAAGATTCATTCCTTGTTGAGGAATTTGTTGAGCCTTCAAGTGTTTTTTTTTTTTTTTTTTTTTTTTTTTTTTGGGCGAATCAGATTGAAGGTAGTGTGCATCATTGGCTCCCTTTAACTTAGCCATTTTCTGGATATAAGTAAAAGAGATACGCTGATGATATGATTCTGCCCCTTCTCTATTACTTCTTTTGGTATATTTTCAGCATTTAATTTGTGCAAGTAATGCATACTCATTCTCCTAACGTTATTCATGTTTGCAACTAAACAAAGCTAGCACCTTTAAATCTAATATAATTATGAAACTGAAATAACAATCGTTCAAAAATAACAATAATAATGTTGACCTATTTTAGATTCAAATCGATTCTTTTTGCATATTAGCAATAGTAACCTAATTGTACATAAAACACTACTAACAAAAAGAAGCAGATAAACAATGAAGACGTAGATAATGACAAACCTATCCAAAAGCGAATTAGTAAAATTTAGAAAATTCCAACCAAAAGTACATAGTAACTATCTACCACCTAATACCATATCAACTACATTAACAAACGGTTTGGTTCACGGAATGAATTTTGAGGTAATAGGAATGCTATTCCATAAGGAATGGAATAGGCAAGGAATAGAATAAGAATTGTATTATATTGTTTGGTTCGCGGAAGGAATAGACTTTAGGAATTATATTACAGTGTTTGGTTGATTTAAGGAATAGAAATGAAATATGTTTTAAAAGACATAAATACCTTTATAAAAATATGTGATGCTGGCGGTGTTGGTGACGGTGTTGGTGGTGGTGCTGGGGTGGTAGTGGTGGTGGTAGCGGTTGCAGTGGTGGGGGTGACGGTGGTGGTGTTGACGGTTGTGGCAGTGGTGGTGGGGGCAGCGACGGTTGTGGCGGTGGTGCTACTGGGTGGTGGTTCTGGTGGCGGTGGTGGTGGTGGCGGTGTTGGTGGTGGTGCTGGGGTGGTAGTGGTGGTGGTGGCGGTTGCAGTGGTGGGGGCGACAGTGGTGGTGTTGACGGTGACTGTTGTGGCAGTGGTGGTGGGGGCAGCGACGGTTGTGGCGGTGGTGGTGGTGGTGGCGGTGGTGCTGCTGGGTGGTGGTTCTGGTGGTGGCGGCGACGGCGGCGATGGTGGTGGCGGTGGCGGTGGTGGTAGTGGTGGTGGCGGCGGTGGCAGTGGTGGGGGTGGCGGTGGTAGTGGTGGCGGTGACGGTTGTGGCGATAGTGGTGGTGGTGGCGGCGGCGGCGATGGTGGTGGTGGCGGCGGCAGCGGCGGTGATGGTGGTGGTGGCGGTGGCGGTGGCGGTGATGGTGGTGGTGGCGACGACGGTGGTGAAATAAGATAAATTTATATATGTGATAAAAAAATTAGGTTAAAGAAAGGGGTAAAAAAGGAAATAGATTCTAAAATCTATTCCTGAGCGTTCAATAATAAGCTAATACCAGGGGGGGCCCTAGTAATAGCTATTACCTTATTTGAGGTAATAGGCTATTACCAGGAATATTATTCCGGGTAATAGAAATGGTTACCAAACAACGGAATAGGCCTGGGAATGCTATGCTATTCCCGGCCTATTACTGGGAATGCTATGCCATTCCCGGCCTATTCCGTGAACCAAACGGGCCATAAGTATTTAGATATTTTTTTTTAGAAAAGTGAAAACATTAATTTTAATGCTAATTATAATGAAGTTCTCCTATATAATCTAACTTGTATTGATATACTTTGAATTATTTATTTA